GGGGGGGGGGGGGGGGGGGGTTGTTGCTGTTCCATGGGAAGCACTTTGCTGGTGTTGCTGTGACTGATGTCACAGGGTGTTTTCCTCGACTGCTTCAAACTCCTGATCTCTGTGAGAGCTCAAACGCCGCTGCTACTCCTTGAGCTCTTAAATGCAGCTTTTCAGCCGCTTTGAATTTCCTGCCTTTCAGAGGGATCAAATGTTCTTACTAAAAAAGCATATCTCTTATTTCAGTTCTCAGAGCTTTGGAATGGGAGTGAACATCACCATCCATGTAATTGATTTCGTAGGGTGCCAGAGTGTTTTTTCCTTTTCATTTTAATGGGGAAGGAAACGCTTGTATTTAACGCAGAAAATCTTCAATCAGATCAAGTGCATCTGTCGTGTTCTTTGCCTTGGACACTTAGTCTTCTACAGATGGTTTCCTTTATTTTAAATGTGGGTGAATCTAGATAACACTTCTGCTCTATTCTGTTGTAAAAGATCAAAAAAAACATTTATTGATGCCGTCCCAGTAAAGAGTGAACGTCTTTTAACAGTTCTTTACTAGTTTTACTGTTCTGTGTACTTCCATCCTTAGATTCATTCAAATGGTTCAAATGGTACTTTATTTCAACAATACGTATTTCTAGACTTTATAAAGACACACACACACATATATGTGTACACAGGAGGACCTTGATGTATGTGTGAATTATTGATTATAATTCAAATATAATTTGTGATCAGATTATTGTGAGTTCACTGTGTGGTCCTTTGAAGACCAGATAACATTTTTCAAAATGTCTCAATGTGTTGCAGCTGCACTTATTGCTCTTCACTTATTTGGAATGTCACCTTGCTAAGATATCCCATGATCCCACATCAAACCTTTGTGCCATTGTAAAATTCTATGTTTTGTACAGTTTTCATTTTATATTCTGTCTTGTGCCTTTTCTTTGTAGTACCACCCTTTGTCTCTTTGCAACACCAGCGAGGATGAAAGGCAGGAGAGTGACTTCATCACCATTGTCAAGCTGGAGCACAGAGTACCCCGCTGTCTGTCACTGCCGGAAAAGGTAAACACGGACACGCCGTTGACCGCCTCGTGCGTTCCTGCTGGTTACAGTGACATCTCTGAGAGACATTTGTCTGGATGATTTCTTCATCTTTTTAACTGAATTTTAATTGAATTTTGAATTATACATGAGAAAGTTCTCCCGTCTTCAGTAACTGTGGTGTTTTGTCCAGGACACTGATCTTATAAAGTCATGGGTTGCACAGAAGAAGATGGACTTAACTGAACGCTGCTATGTAGCTAGTGGCAGTGAGCCCTGGCTTCTGATGTGAGAATGTCAAGCAGCAGCTGTCACGGGTTTGATCCCAGCCAGCCTTCTTCCCTCTTATATGAACCCAGACGGAGCTCTATAGCTTCCACCCACAGTGGTTCAGATGTATGTGCAACGACAACAGAGTTGACCCAAATTCCCTTTAAGTTTAAGTATGATCCCATACACACTGACTGGCATATGCTAACCTAGAATACCACGATTTATAACTGCTGCTATTTTTTCCTTTGTTTTTCAAGTGGTGACAAATTAGCAGGCAGAGGTAGTTTAGCGACTCAGTCCTTTTTTTTAGTCGGTGCTTTTTTTTCCCCCCTAATTTAAAGCCATGTTTAAATGCGGCCCTCCATGGCAAATATGTAGTCATTCCCACTCTTGCCTGCTTTCCTTCCTTACTTGCTGTTGTTGCTCCCTGAGTGGGAACCAAACGGAGAGAAGACGGTTGTCACTGAGGACTAGGACCAGGACTCGGGCTCACGTTGGTTTTGATTAAACACTAAATCACAAAGACATTATTTTGTCCCATAAACAAAAACCGAGTTTTTCAGAAGAACCAATAAACAGCGCCTGTTGCTTCCGAGTGCTCTCTCCACCCTGCAGACTGCCTTTGAAATCACGAGGAGCTGAAGGAGGGAGCGGGGGGGTGGTGGTGGAAGTGGAGGGAAGGGCTTCTTTTTGTTGTATCGGTCGCCTGGAAAGTATGCGTTGTCATAAACTTCTCTGCAGCCACCTGCGTCCTCGCTTCCTCACTGAGATTTGAGGCTTTTGGTTGTGGTGGATTTATTATGGATTTGTCATGCAGCTGTTGAGGAGTTTGCTCTTGGCTGTTTAAAGACAATGAATCAGACTGGCTGTGTGATGCTGGCTCAGCCAGGCTCTTTGTAAGAGACTTGTTTACAGTGCAGTCTGCCTGCAGCGTGTCCCACTGATCTATAGATACATGGACGGCCACAGCGGCATGTGTTGCACCGCACATACTCGGAATAGACGTGGGACCAAACAAAGCAAAAATCAAAACCTTGAAGTGTAACTTTTGTTTTCTTTTTTTATACCTTATACAATCACAGAGAGAAACCCGATCCATCCTGTCTCTAATCTTTATTTTACTCTCTGTGTCTATAAATCAGGGAGTTGACGTTGAAGCCCAAACTTTCAATCCTCAGCTTTTATAAGCTAGACCAAATCACCCAAAGTTATTGTTAGCTGCTGTTTCCAGAATATTTGACAAACACTTTTTTCCATTCTGTCACATTTGTTTCTTTTCCAGCAAAGTCTAATTTGGACATGAAAATTTGGATTATCTAAACCAGTAATTTTGCATTTTAGAAAACTGAAAATGTTCATGACTAAACTGTATAGTTAAATTTGTAGTTCTTTTCAGACAACATTATTATTAAAAGACTTCAACTGGATGTAGTAATCCAGTTGAAGTCTTTTAGGACCTAATGTTGACATGTTTACAGAGGCATCAAATAGGAAATCAAATTGAATCAAATCACAGCTGTTGGTTCAAGCGTCAAACCAACAATACATTAATATAAGACCATATGTCCACACAATACCTTTTCTCTTTTTAATGTGCTAGCCATGTTTAGCATAGCACAAGTTTTTTGAATCTGGTTGTTATGCTGAAAGGTTCCATAGAAGTAGCACTGTCTCCAAGCTTCTGTCTTTGAAACCTTCCGATGTCGCCCTCTGTGACATCGTACCATCACACATATACCATGAAGACTGTCATTTCAGAGTCAGGCTTTTGCTTCCTTGATATAACAGACTTCACCCGCGGTTTATTTTTGGCAATAACAAAAACACACCGCGTCTGGACTCTGATCCGAGGATACGCTTTTTATTGTTTTGGTCCATCTCGGGGGTAAACCTGATTATACTTCTGCTCAGAATGGATTTATGGCTTCCTTTAAATGTCACACAGGCTCAGGGAGCATTTTTATGTAGTGGCTGACAGTGTTCTACAGAGAGCATTTCCTGAAGCAGCTTGCTATGTTAGCTTAGCCCATCACAGAAGCGCTGTCTAAGTAGTGGTGTCAAAGTACACACCCAGCCGTGGCACACAGGTCCCTTTTCTATTTATTTAGAATACAACAGACACAATAAACTGTTTTGGATAATATTACACTCGTACATGTTAACAGTTCTAGTCAGTACTAGTGTAAAAAGAGGTCTCCACACTGGATTAATTTGCAACAAGGAGTAACCCTGTGTTTTGGCCATTTATTTACTATTTTCTGTTAAAAGTTCAGTACTGCTGTGCTCCATGTACACATTACATTATACGTTATACGTATGTTATAAGGAGAGCCCTTGGGTGTTATATATTATTTAACAGTTCTCTTTTAATTCATAAATTGTTGGAATGAGCTACAAATCAGATAATTTAACTAAATTTAACTGAATTTAATTAAACCATTAATACACAACACACCTCAAAATTTCTCTGCCATTTTTTTTTCCTCAGTTAAACTGATCTGTCTGTTTTCTCTGTTTATAGCTTTGCTGAAAAGGTTTTCAAGAATAGTCACAAAACAACACAAAAATAAAAAAAAGCAGATCATTGCTGCCACTAGGGGCTTCTTTGCACTGCGCATTTTTTAGGGTTACGCACAAACGATTAGTACCTTTGAAGACTGTTGCTGACACCGCTGAAGAATCCATGGTTTTGTGAAAACTGTTCTACATAGGCATCGCACCGTAACCCTGTCTGAACACGTCGTCCCTCGCAGAAGGCCCTGCGTTGATTCTGCCCCATTAGATGAAAAGGTCTTTAAGTCTAATAATGCTGTAATCCCGTTTTCTTTAGCTAGGGGTTTGGTGTGTGTTCATGCCTGCATATGTGGGTGATCATATTACTTTAAACCTCCCAAAACTTTGTCAGGATATTAAGTAGGTGGCTTTGTCGTGAAGAGACAGGCATATCAATCCTGAACGTGTCAGTCACAGCAGATCAGGCTGCGATAGACACCGCTGTCTTGTGTTTGTGATGTTGTCATGCCGTACGGTTGTTACATCGAACATGACAAATCCAAATATTTGCCCCAAAACAAGATGATTGACAGAACAACTTGCACCAAAGAAACCTTTTATAATTAACAACGTTGTGCCAAACAGCCTGCAGCTCAAAATCTGCTTTCATCGAGGTGAACTCCCATGGATCGGCTCAACTCTCATATTTTGTTGAACACTTGAGGATTCAAATGTTTGTAAATGGTGGAGCCGGTAAACATCGTAAAACGTTTAGGCGTTAGAATTGTCATTGTAGGATTGTTGACCCAAGTAGGAGTTCAAAGCCTCGCAGTGAGTACCTCACTGAGAGTGCCTCCTACTGCAGGCTGAGAGGCACTACACTTTTATTTTTGTTTTATTTGATATATTTTAAAAGATAACATTTAAAAACACAGAAGTCTGTGACCTTGTCCATGCTCTTAGAGAACATGTTCTTGTTCTTCACACAAAACAGTACTTCACATTACTAATATTTAAAGTCTGGCAGGTGCAGGCAAACACTGTAGCCACCCCACAAGAAGAACCAGAATCAGCCTTCATGGTCACTGTACATGTACGTCTGCATCAATCCCTGGAGAGCAGAGCAGGATTCGAACCTGCAACCCTGCGATCCTCTTACCACTTGGCCACAGGGTGCCTCCAGAAAGATCAGAAGAAGTTGTTCAGAATCAAGATTTTTTTAAATGTTAAATACAGTAGTCATACATTCACCAGTGAAAGTAGCAGACAAAAATATAATAGTTGTTCATCTCTGAGTAGCACTTTTAAAATTGTATCTCTATGTATTAATTACCTCATCAACTGAAATGAAAAAAAATACTAAAACTAAATTATTTTTTAAATAATTTCATTTTGATTAATTAATTACAGTGTCTAATTAACATGTCGTATATTTTGAATCATGTCCTAACACTGCAACTACTCAATACTTGTCTTTGTTAAAACGGCCATAAAAACACATGTTAAATAATATAATAAATGACAAAGATTACCAGCCCCGGGTTATTCAAAGGAGTGTTAGTTAACACGTAGCAGGTGCAAATTACATTTTTTTAGTCAACGACATCAGACCTGCACTAAATTTCCAAAGATAGCATTGGACCGTGGACACTACCATGTGTGTCCACTGTCCAATTCTACCATCTGTCAATATCCATGATGGCCTCTAGACGTCAGGAGGACGTTTGGACAGGAGGACATACTGTAGCGATTAGTAAAGGAAGACCGTAACTTTGCCAGGGTGACTCATAAAAAAACTAGCCCTAACTGTGGCCTTAACTGTTAGGACAGGATGAGTCGTTTCAGGAACAGGAAGTGCTTGGAAACAAGGGAAACCCATTTAGGGAGAAATAAATCACGGCCCCTGTGACAATGTTTTTGTCTCCTCTCGTCTGATTGTCTGTAGGGGGTGACACTGACCCCAGGCTGTTCCTGCCTGCTGTTTCTTAGCAGAGACAGGGGCTGGAAATGCAATGGTAGCTGTCTTTGGCCTCTTTCCTCTCGGTCCTGAGTCCAACATCTCCAGTTCATCAGAGAGCAGTTGAGGAGGAGGAACACAGGGGAAACATCTGGAAAACGGGGGATATTTAAACTTTACAGAGTAAATGCAAAAAGCAGCAGGTACACAATAGACACTTTGGCCTGTAGAAAATGTGTCAGGGTTAGAAGACTTCTCCCCTCTCTTTGATTCCTCTCCCATGGGAAGTCATTATTTG